TAACTACCACCAGATTACTTAATAATGAAATGATCATCTATCCGGGATGTGACCAACAGAGGATTTCCCCCTATCAGCCTATATTTATTTTTGTAATTATTCTAATACATGTTACATGATATACCTATTCAATTTTCATAATATTCTACTTCTTATATGTATGGCTTATAAAACTTTTGATTACGATGAATAATAATAACTTAAAAACTAATAAAAAAAACGAAAAATGTATATTATAAAATACAACATGTTTTAACTTATTTTTATGTAATAATCCCAAGTTGTATTATTAGACCCACGCCTGAGCTCGTCTGTGTAGCCTTACTTTTACTCGATATAGCATGTTAATTGTGTTTACGCCTTAAATTTTGATTATATTTGGTGACCTTTGTGGCTTTGTACTACAGAATTTGAATCGTACAGTTGGTTAAATATTTGTACGCGAGCGCTCATTAAACGTGAGAAGTATGCGCTGCAAACTTTACACCAAACAACTGTTATTGTAAATGCGAATCAAACGTGTGTATGTATATACAGCTTACATTATATATTTTCTATTCGAGACGAAACTTAAATTAATAGTTAAATACTCGTTTTGATATTACGTTTTCGAGAACGTTTAGTAGTGAGACGGTCGGTAGATGTGGTACACGCCTAACGGAACAAGAATATAGTTAAATATCTTGAAATTAAGTATTTCATATCATTAGGATTATTTGAAGTTGGTACCTTTTGATATCTAACAAAGCAAATTGAAATTAGTGATAACCTTAAAATTGAATAGTTTGGTATCATATTATTTTGTTATTGCTTAACTCTTATTTTCGTATAAATTATATATATAAAAAAAAAAATCAGATATATTTATTGATAATAATTTCACATTTTATTATTTAAAAATGAGATTAAAAAATTTAAAAAAAAACAAATTGTTTTTTAGTTAATTAAAAAGATAGCTCTTAGAAGTGGTAAACCATAAAAATAAACCGGTCAACCGTCTATTGTTCACATATAGTACGTTATTAATTATTCAATAGGTTTACTGTGAAACCATATCGAATATTAAATGAACTATAGGTACCTACTAAGTAAAAATAAAATCAATATTCTCGACAAATTTTTAAAATATAGCGCAATAAAACAGTGCAAGGTACATTATAATAACACGCTATTCTCGTGTAATATAATAAGAGAGATAGCACTCATTGAAAAATGGGTTTTTCAGACAAATAATCGGATCTTATAATATCAGGATTGTTTTTATTTAATATAGTTTTGCGATATTCTTTGTTGAATCTGTCTTTCAGTGAATGAGCTGAGTCAAACGATCACAACAAAAATGTATTATAAATGAAGCGCCAATTTCAAATGTATATATAAAAAATAAAATACAGTTGATCGATTACTGCAGTAATATAATTATTGTGCTGTACTACCATACGGTAGATTAGGATGTAAATAATTATATAATATAATGTTGTACCGATGAGGTGTACCTGCCTATAATACACTCCTCGGTCGTGTAGTTATTCGAAGTACCATCTTGGTATCGAACCGTCATTGAATAATTGATCGTTTTTCTCATCAAAACTATTGGGTTTGTATCGTAYGTTTACGACCGCGCGTATATAAAAACGGTTAGTTTCAGTTAAGTTTATGGACGGGCAATCCGCTAACAAGAACTAACTTCTCGGAACGAACATCGAAAAGTAATGTGACCAGTGAAAGTTTAGTGAATACGTGACTTTGGTCTTTGATAATCCGTTTTAGATAAATATATTATTACGCTGCATGCACTACATATATGATATAGTTTTCACGACCCCACTCRGGTCGTAAACAAAATTGCTATTATTGACAGTAATAATTTCAACTTTCAGTGTCATTCCGAGTGCAGATGTAGTATAATGCAATATTTATTATAATATATTATGACCTGTATACCTATGGACCTCGGGAACGTGCTCGATATTAATAATGATAATATTACAAAACATCGTGCAGTGACGACGAGTCAACATGACAAGAATTCGTAGGCTAAGTGATTAGAACCAAAAAGTGCCATATAATTATTTCTCAAAATAATCACATTTTTTGGAGAGCTACAGTTACTTTAAAACTTAAAACTGTAGTAATATAATATTACACGTATATTATGTTATAAAGAATAATAATTTTTAATGTTTTTTAAACAAAAAGATAAACAGAATTCGTCTGTGTCGAGTTTTAAAATTTATTTTTTCCAAGCAAGACTTCACAGAAAATTACGATAGTGTAAAACATTTCAGTAAAGAACCAAAAAAGTTCTACGGAWAAAACCTTATGGTTGTTAATATGTATTTGTTTTTCACTCGGTTAGAACTTTTTTTGTCCTGAATTATATGTATGTTTTTACTTTTAAGTATTCAACCTAAAAATAATAAATAATGTGGCATTGGATTTTCCTTTAAATAGCTACTTATTTTACGATTTAAAAATTGTAAGCAAGTACAATGTTTTTGGTGGTAAGAAGCAAATAAATTTTTAAGTCACCAAACACCTACTCCCACCAACATAGGATRTACGTAATAAAAAATCTAAACCTCGATGTGTTGATTTTGACGGGAAGTTGACTGAAAAAATATATTGTCGTTATTATTATTATTATTTGAATTTCTTATTTTATTTATATATAATATATATACAATATAGTCAATATACAATAGTTAATAATATTGTACCATCATATCATTATTGTATGGATGTTGCAACAAATATAAGACAGTACTTTTTGGTAAATAACTAATTTATTTAATCATTTTGGCAGTACCGATAAGATTTTAATACTAAT